AAGACCTGACGCCTGGTTTCTGTGTTTTGAGTCAGCCTTTGGTTTTGTCATATTTATACGCCTCGCTTCCTTTGAATAACTGATTTGAATTGTATCGTTGACGCAAAGCCGTTTATTTTCCTTGACCATTTAAAAATAGACGCTAAACGTTTTTGAATGAACGCTGAACAATAATCTCTTTTCCTAGCACTTAAAGTAAATGACCCACTTAAAAACGCGCAAATAAGTGACCGAGAAGCAAAGAAATGTGGCGCCGAATATAAAGTTGTGTTATTAACTGCGTTAAGTAACGAACTGTAGCGTTCTCGAATACACCTTTTACCTCAGGCTCGAACGCCCGATCATAATTTTGGAATTATACTAGTATTTTTCTCTCCATATCAACCGATAAATTCTGCAGTTGCTCGCGTGCGTGACAATTAATTTTTCATGTGATCATTCGTGCGCAGACGACAACTTTAGTTGTAGTTGGTTCTAGATAAGACGAGCTAAGACAAATGTCTCTTTTTCCTCCGCAAACTTTGTGAGTAATTCTCACAATTAATACTAAAGTTACTGCAATATAAGGAGTAAGCTTGTTTTGGCTTTCATTTGTTTTAGGCAGAACATACTACGTTTCTATCGGACTTATCTTGACTAAAAAAAATATTCAACTATTGAACTGTTTCAAATTTTGTTCTGTTATGTTAATTACACCTGTTGTGAGTTGTAAAATAAAGATTATTTTTTCAAAAGAGGAACGGATAAGCTAGTGAGTATGACGCACTTCTTTTTCGAGGAAACTTGACGTGAAATGTGATCTTTTTTTTCCTCTGGAGGTTCCATTGAGCAAGCGAATCTAATTAAAGCAAAAAAAGACGATGTAATACGTTTTCTACAGCTGCTGGGAGTTTTGTGTTTTAGCCGAACTCATAAAAGTTTAATGAGGTTTTTGTTATTAGCGAGCGACCTCGAAGTAGTGTTCTATTCCAAAGTTGCTATTCTATAACTCTTGAACGGCTTTCATAAATATTTGTATGAAGTGAAAAAGTGTTATTTGTTGGTCATGAAGAAGTAAGACGTCCGCCGCTCCTCTTTGCGAGAAGTTTAATTTGCTTTTTCCAGCGGCGCGTGTCCGATCAAATTGATGGATGGATAGATAGATTGCCAACTCATGAATTACAAAACAGTTCCGCACGTCTAGCTAAGTTAGCCGTCAAAGCTTCCTCTTAACGACAGCGAGCAAACATTTGGAACAAACTCTACGCAAATTAACCTTGAAGGAAAGTCAACTCATCCAAACAAGAACTTGTTAACGCTCGGAAGCTAAATTTGGAATCCTATGGAGAGAAAAACGACGAAAAGACCTGCTAAAACCCCGGCCTGCTGTAGCGAAGGCTGCTTTCAAAAATGAGAACAAAGACGAAGCTTTGGCCTACGTACCCGAGTTATCGGCGTCGGGTTGATGCCTTTGTTTACAACCTGAAGCGCTATATAGTAAAAACTGTTTTCCCTGGTAATCCAAGGGAAGAATGGCTCTGGTTCAAGTACTGCCGAAGAAAAGGGATTCTTCTCCGTATTCGTCCAAGCCATGTTATTTTATTCCGACAGGTAAACTGCTGTGACCTGCTTAAATCATGAATTGCGTTTATTGTGAGGAGGAACACAGTTAGAATTTTGCATGTACTTGATGTTCTAACAATTTTCTGTTTGCTTTGTGCTTTAAGAATAATTTCGGCAGAGTTCGATATAATTTTTTCGTACCGGATAAATAAACTGATTGTGGTCTTTCGATCTCTTCCGATTATTGTTTTTAATATGAAAGTACGGTGTTAACATATCAAAAGCTGTGTCGTAAGTTTTCAAATTGATAAATAAGTGTTTCCTAGTTTTTGCAAGTGATATCAGGGACGCGAAATTGGAAACCTTTCCTGATTCAGGCGGAAAATATATTCCTTCACAATCATTCAGCTTCAAGATAATCATAACTTATTGCGCTGTTTTTGGGGGAGTATACTGACGTTTGTTTGTAAAAACAAGCGGGATTGGATGTTATTTTGTTATCGTAAAAGTAAATGAAATTCATTTCTGCATATGGTGCATCTTTCTATTTTAGAAGATTACTTCTTGGCGGAACTTTTAATCTTTGTCAGACGCCTGCTACAGTTTGTCTATGATGACTGACATCGACTTTTAAGATTTTTGGATGGGTCGAGCTCAATTTATGTTCATATCTTTTCGTTCAATGTTTAACTTGTTACTCAGCGTTCGTTCTTTTAAGTTGTAGGTCAAAGTAGGCGTTCTTTGACTCTCCTATAGTTGAGCGGGGCCAAAGTTTAAAGAGTCTATCTTGAT